GTCCAGAATGTAATTACTCCATTGTTCTGTCTAGAAGCTATCCACTCCAATTCAAGGGTTGTATTCTAAAAAGGAACTTAAAAATTGAGTCAACATTTAACCAAGAAGCTGCATCAGGGTATCACATAGGTAAACAATACCAAATCCTCAGCCTATATTTTCTAACCAGTGTGTAACCAAAACTTTATCACTTTGCACTACATTGCTGTTGTATAAGAATTTCAAAGTGGTTTATATATTGTGAAACCTCTCCCATAAGGGAAGAAGAAATTCTCCACAGTTCACAGATTTGGAAATGTAGGCCACATAAGGTTGTGACTTATAGTTCAAAGACTAAAAACTAATAATGATGATAATAACAATTAAAGCATTTTCACAATTTTTCTTATTTTTCTTTATTGATTTGAGAGAGGGGAAGAAAGAGAAAGAGAGAGAGAAATATTGATTTCTTATTCCACTTATTTATGCATTCATTGGTTGATTCCTGTATGTGCCCTGACTGGGAACCAAACCCAAAACCTCGGTGTATTGGTATAAGACTCTAACCAACTGAAGCACCTGGCCAGCGCCCCATTTTCACAATTATCTCTCTTAACTCAAGTCACTGCTCTAATTTTAAAGCTTCCTTCTGTGATACAATGTAAAACCTTCAACTACAAGTTTGGATCCTGGCTCTTGGAAAAATAATTTAAGTCTCTATGCCTTAATTTACCCATGTGCATAATACCTTCCTTACAGGATATTATAAAGATCAAATAAGTTAATGAATATGAAACTGCTTTGTAAAGCACAAAGTATTATATAGAAAGGTTTTTCTAAACATTATGGCTTAATATATGCCAATAGCTCACTCAGATTCTCATGAATCCCAATGAGTTAGTATTATTATCCCAATTTTAACAGATGAGAAACCCAAAGATTAGAAGTTAATCAACTTTCCCAAGATCACTCACAGCACAAGCTAAGTGGCAGAACTAGGACTGGAGCACAAGACTAAAGAAATTCAAAGCCTAGTCTCATTCTGCTGCCTTGCTGGGTTTGTACATTAATAACATACAGACTCTTCACTCCTAATTCTCTGTGCAGTAAGCTTTGTAATTTCTTTTCTGTGATATGATGAACAAAAAGCAGTCCCAATTAGCTTCATGACACCTGGTGAGAACTCTTAAGTTTTTAAGTACCAGGTAGTCCATGTTACCAGTGTTGCAATGTGAATGTTCTCTTTTATTCCTAGTCCAGCCTGGCATGGAAAGACTCTTTAGTCTTTAGGGCTTTGAGAAAACAAAGTCTAATTCTGCCAGTTTACATCTTACCCTTTCTGCTTAACCAACCCCTATAAACCCAGACTGTTTGTTTTTAAGCCTTCTCTTTAAAACCTAAAACTATGTCCATGTGACCTGCTTCTTCAGTAGAGTTTGTCTCTATCCTGGGAGAAGAGTCAGGTCCTGGTTCTCCACCTCTCTGACTGTTCGTTCCTTCTTATCTGCCTCTGGTGTTCATAAGGATCTCAATCTACAGAGAGGGAAACTTTGTGACTGGCCCATATCGTCTGGATGAAATAGTCCTCAACACAATGCACCTCTCTTTTGTTTCCATGTTTACCAAGCAACCATCTAATTACTAGTTTCATGAGCACTTTGGTACAAGAGAAAGTGATGTAAGTATTCCAATCACTGGACAGGTATGTCCTCTAATATGAATCAATAAAATTGGCATACTGATTGTTGCTTTAAAAAAAAAAAACTTTCAATGATTGATTGCCCCACTGCCCACTGAATAAAGCCATAAAAGAATCTTTACAAGCTGAACTCTGGGTCCTCTACAGTACCATCTACTCCCATCAAAACTCTAGCCCTTAAGTCATACCCAACCACTCACATTCCTCAAACACTTCCATTTATATTCACACCTTCAAGCCTCTGTGCATGCTATTAATTCCCTCTGCCTCCTGCCCTCCCCACCCTCTCACCAAATCCCATTCACCCCTAAAAGTGCACTCCTAAAGTGTCACCCCCTTTGTTGAGTCTCTCAAGGAACCACAAGGGGAGATAGCTATCCCTCCTTTTACTTCCAAATACTTTATATATACCTCTGTTCTAGCACTTAACGCAGTATCACAATTACTTGTTTGCATATATTTTTCCCTTGCTAAGGTGTGAATAACCAAGGGCAGAAAACAGATCTCAGTCATAATTCTGGCATCTCCAGGGCTTACCACTCTATGATCACTAAAAGGTACAGTGGGGCCTTGACTTACGAGTGTCCCGACTAAGGAGTTTTTTGAGATACTCTCTCGGCCGATTTTTTGCTTTGAGTTGCGAGCTAAAATTGGGGTTACGAGCCAGCTTCAAATACCCCACCGCTAGTTGGCGCAGTGAAGGTCACAGTGAACGCCACAACATCAGCTCAGCATCACGTGTCTCACTCGTTCACTTTTTGATTTGAAATACGAGTAATTTGAGTTACGGAACGAATTAAACTCGTAAGTCAAGGCCCCACTGTATTTAATAATTATTGGGGGATTGGAAGAATAAAGGACATACTCTGGCTCTGTTGACTGCTATCTACTCTGAACCGTTAGGATCCAGAGTTACTATCTAATACCTCCTCTTGTGTGCTGGTCAGTCCAGGCTCTAAAAGAGCCCTTGGCATACTTAGGAAATGTGAGAGTGTTTACGTCCACACTGAACCATCTAATCCTGCCAAAACCATGCTCACTACCAACATACAGGGAAACTGTTGCCAGGCACAATTCTGGAAAGTCCATGCTTGACAACCATTCCTAATATAGCTATGATATACTGCTCTACACCCTCACACACTGCAAATACATCACTTCCCTTCTCACCTTTGCCCCTTCTCGGGGCAGTTTATGCAGCTGAAAATTTTAGCTCTTCTTCTGAATACAAAAACATGTTTCATTTGTAGAATAAGGCATTTGTATTAATAGCCGCACAGAGATCCAAGTAATTTGGTGGCCAACCAGTGAGAGTCTAGAATCCCATCATCATCAATACTTTCACAAGTTTCTCCAAAAAAAACTCCTGGTAGTTTATTCTCAACAAAGTACCTCCCCTGGTCATTCTATTGATTCCAGCTTAGGCAAGCAGTTCCCCTATTAAGGCAGTAGAGGGGATTTCTAAGTCTGGAAAATGCAAGAATTCCACACAGCAAAGTAACAAAGGCCCAGATGCTAATCCGGTGAGAATGGTGCAGTGGGGATGGGAGAGAAATTCTTCTACACCTAGTATAGAGCAGACTGCACAACCACCTCATCTGGCTCACGTTAATTTACTCTGGCCAACCATTTTTGACTCACTCCTCCCCTCAAGAAAGAGATCTGTGTCTGGGAAGGATCAAATTCCTATACACCTGATCAAGGTCCTTCAGAGGAAAGCCAAACTGAGTAAGACAGCAAAAGGACTGGACACAAGAGGCCTCTCCCCCAACAAGCCCTACTTTCCCCTTCTTCCCTCGTTTCATTGGCTAGGAGTCCAACTTCCTTTCAGCTGGAGGCCACCGGCAATATGATCCAGTGAGGTCCTGAGATTTCCTCACCTATTTCTGTTTGAATTCTGATTGTTAAAGCTGTCACAGCTCCGGACAGGCCCAGAGAATCCTCCCTCTGAAGAGCAGCAGTGGCTCAAAGGCCTGCAAAGGGAACTTAATGGAACCATTCACTTAGCGGCTTTTTTTTTTCTTCAATGAAGTTCAGCGGCACAATCTAACCTCTTTGTGCTCTGAAACGAACCACATTTCTTAAAAGAAAGACCACAGGGGGTTGACAGAAAACTTGCTGCAGGCAGGAAGACCTGGACAGCTTAGAGGAGCCGCTGCAGAAGGGAACAAGTAGAACTCTTGAGCTGGTCCACTTTAGCATTGCATTTCATCTCTCTCTCTCTCTCTCTCTCTCTCTCTCTCTCTCTCTCTCTCTCTCTCTCTCTCTCTCTCTCTCCTCTCTCCACTCTCAAGCAGAGCTCCAATGCCACAAGGGGAGGGGGGGAGCATTTTACAGCTTCTTCATTTGTTTCCCTTTGCTGGGTAGGTGCCGTGAACAAGAATGCTGGACTCGGTCAAAAGGGCTGAAGTTTCCTCTCCTTCAGATGAGAAGACACTCGGGGCCCAGTCACAAGGGCCCCAGCTGAATCGAAGGGGAGAAAGTGCTGCCTGCGGAGTTTCTGGGAAAGTCTCCACGTCTGTGGAAAGCACAACCGCCACACGAAGCAAAATCCCAGACCTGGATGTTCAACATCCACCCCGGGGCCTCCCCAGGCCACGCACCCCGGCTGCCGCTCCTGGGGCCGCCGCAGCCGCTGGAGCCCCGCGGGCCCAGACCCCCGGCCGGTCAAACTTTCTCTGCACCCCGGCTTCAGACGAGCCGTTCGCTGGCAGCGCTGCTCAGCAGGGAGCCTCCAGGGGCTGAAATCCGAGCTCCGCGATAAACCTTATTTCTGGGAAAAGGAAGCAATAGCCCCCAGCAACCGTCAGGCCCAAAGCCCCCGGGAGGGGGTGGGCGGGAGGAGGCCTGCCACCGGAACTGCACACTCACGGGCACCGGCCCCCGAGAAACCCGGGGGTGCGCCACCTCGGCTGCCCCGCGATCGCCGGGGGTCCGGGAGGACAAAAGGGGCGCGGGACCCTCGGGGGCACGCAGAGGTCCGAGCCTCACGAGGGAGCCCGCGCCCCGCCTCGGCAACTCCCCGCAGCCAGCGGGCTCCCCGGATCGCCGCCTTGCAGCCGGGCCAGATAACAGTCCCGGGGTAACGAGCGCGGGGAGGCGCCGCGGTCCGGAGGAGGGGGTGCCGGGGTCACCCCACTTCTGTAAATAAACTGGCCCGAGACACCGCCGCGCGGGGCCGCCCCCGGCGCCGGGGTGGGCGCGACCCGCCGGCCGCCCACCTGCAGCGGCTCGGGGGCCCCCGCGCGCCGGCCGCGGACTCGGACCCCCGGCCAGCGCGGCCCCGTCCGAACCCGGCCCGGCCCTGCCCGGCCCGCCGCACCTTTGTAGCGCTCCAGCACATCCTCGTACGCCTGCACGAACTCCTTCTCCTGGCTGCGGTTGGCCGGCTGCTGACCCGGCACGTAGCCCGCCATGGCCGCCCGGCGCCGCGCGCTCCGGGGCCCCGGCCGACGCCGCTCCCAGGCCCGCGCGCCGCGGCGGCGGCCCCAGCCTCGGCCTTTGTGCGGCTGCGGGCGGCGGCCCCTCGCTCTCGCGCTCGCTCTCCGCTCGCCTCGCCCGGCCCGGCCGTCGGTCGCGCTCGCTCCTCCGCCCGCTCGCACCCGCGGTCCCGGCTCGCGTTTCCGCCTCCCCACCCCTCGCCGCGCTCCTCCCTCCGCCCGCCCGCCCGGCGCGGCGGCGGCGGCTCCTCCAGTCGGAGCGCCGGCCCGGCCCGCTCCCCGCCCCTCGCCCCGCCGCCTCCGCCGCCGGCGTGTCCTCGGCGCCGGGCCGCCCGCTGCCCGCACGGCTTCCCCGGGGTCTGCGGGCCGGCGCGCGGCGGGGCCCGGGCCGAGCGGGGGTGGGGGGGGCGGGGGCGGGCTGGGCGGGCGGGAGGCCCCACGCGCCGAGACGAACGGCTGGGCGGGCCGCCGCGGCGGGGAGAGCGGGGTCGGCTCCACGGGGAGGGGTGGGAGGGCGGCCCCGTCTGACCTCCCCCCGCGCGGGGACAAAGGAGGGAGCCCCGGCTGCGGCCACCGGGCGGCCGTGTCCTGCGGAAAGGGACGCGGGGAAGCGGCAGGGACGCGGGAGAGCACAGCCCCAGAAGCCTCGGGCCCGGCCGGCGGGCGGACAGGGCAGTGGGCAGGGCCCCGACGGCTGCAGCGTGCGGCCCGGGCGACACGGGCCACAAAGCGTCCCAGGAACAAAGGGGTTTCCAGAAACGGCAGGAACCGAACCCTCCATGGCGGGGCAGGCCCAGCTGCACCAAGTGAACCAGCGGAGAGGCGCAGCCAGAGCCCGAGAACCGACCCCCGGGGAGCATCTGACGGCGCCTGGGGGTGACGGAGGAGAGACCCAGCAGGACTCGGACCCTGCGGCTGCCATTCCGACAGAATTGGACCCGAAGGGGGACAGGGAGCCTGTGGGAACCTGAGGCCGAGCCAGGATGTTAAGGGACAAAGAAAAGGATTCTGGGGCCTGAGCTAGTCAGGGAAGAAAAGGGAAGCCAATGCTGTGTGTCCCTCAAACCCAGCGTTCACAGGCAGCGCTGGGCCGAGAGCTGAGAGTGCGGAGCTGGGGTGAATGCGGGCGGCCCTTCCGCCCACAGCTGCCCCGGCCGGCCCTCCTCCTCCTCCTCGCCAGCTTCATCACGTCTGCGAACTTGCTTTTTCAGGAGGTGGGAGAGGTGGTTGTGGATAAAAAGTTAGGCTTGCTCATCTCACAATAACAGCGCATTAGCAAGTAAAAAAAAGAATTCATGCGACACTGAGCAGCCAGCATTGGGACTTGGGCTTCTATTACAGTTCCCCTTCTCAAGAGTTTTAAAGAGCAGCTTCTTGCCCCAGGGGGCAAGGCCTGCATCTTTGTGCCCTCTGAGGAGTGCCAAGGATTTGGTCAATGCTCGGCACACTAATGACAGGAAGAAGAAATAATGCTTTTCGCTAATAGGCGCACACGGGTTGTTTCCACATCACACCATGATCAGAAATCGGGTGAGCCAGTCATTAATCATATCTTTTCCATCAAGTTTTGCTGGCCTGCCCGAGTTCTCGGCATAGATCATACAGGGAAGGGCTACAAGAGGGCAGACAGGGGGGGTCTTGGACAAAGGCTCATTTCCTTCCAGTTTATTATTAATCCTTTGTGCTTTAAAAAAATGCTAGTCCACAGTTCTGTGTCAGCTGCTAATGAGCTCCGTTTAAGAAACAGAAGTGAATAAGCTTGAGGATTATTCTTTTTAAAATAAATAAAAGGCTTTTAGTAGAAAATGCAGGACGAAGGAGCCGGTGATGGATGGCGTAAGCACATTTTTCGTAAACAGCAGACAGTATAGAAATGCTAACTCTAGGGAATCTTGACTGTATCCGTGCTGAGTCACCTGCATTTCCCATATTATTTGGGTAGGGCTAAGAAGGCCCAGACACACATACACAGGCACACACCTCCGCCCTCACCCCCACACAGACATCTGCTGCCCATTTTTATTACAGCAAATAGAAAAGTCCCCAACCCCCTCTGACGTGCCACTATGTGAGCAGACCCCTCCAAAATTGTGACTGACGCTCCCCAAAGGTGAGGAAAGACGACAGCCAGAAGGGAAAGCGAGTCTGTCCTGGGAATCAGGCTTTGCTGAAGGCCTGAGAGGTTTGGTGTGGAAAAGGCGAGAGGTTGAGAGTCCTACTAAGAAACAGGGTAATCGAGGAAGAAAGTTCTGGTTTGGGTTGTGGGTAGGGAGCTTCTCAGACTCAAGTAGCTTTCTTGACAAGATTTGCATTTAAATGCTCCCATGAGATTTTGAAGTAATGAATTCTAATGAATGGAAAGGGGGAAGTCCACATGTTTGGCTGATGTTCCTGTTTTATACAGAGAAAATTTTACAAGGTTAGAGGAACAAAGCAGCTTCTAGGGGAATGGGAAGAAGGAAGCCTGTGGGGGGGAGGTTTTAGGTTTTGTCTAGCAACAGTCTAAATTTATAGCCTGACCACACAATTGGGACAGCTCTGAGGCTTTCTCCTTTTGGCCTATGATTTTCCCTTGCTCCTGATGGTGAGACTGCAGTTGCATTTCTAAGGAGGCTGCAATGGAGGGGGGAAGCGGAAGACAGGATGTACTCAGAAGGGCATCTAGTGGGGGGAAAGGGTAATACAAGTAAATAAAGCCCTATTTTTCCACGGTACCCTCCCCAGTTTAAGTCTCTTCAAGTGCCCCTCTCCCTAAGGCCCAGCCACTTTCAATTTCTTTCAGCTCCTCAAAGGCTCTCTTACTTCTAGGCCTTCCCACCGACTAGTCTCCAAGGCTGTAACCTCTCATTGCTCTCCTCTTTTGGCCTGCCTCATTCCATCTCACCCCCTCTGTTGAAACTCCCACTGGGGAGCCTGCCTTAATTCCACCCTCACCCCCAGATCAGTAGGTCCTCCTGCCGCCTCCACACTCCTTTGGTAATATCCATCACCCCTGAAGTTATCATTCGGTGTCTCTCGTCCTTACTAAAGCATTAGCTCCCTGAGGGCTGAGGATGTCTATCTTGTTCACCACAGGATTCTTAGCATCTAGTACATGACTTGGCACATATAAGATACTCATTAAATATGTGTTTAAATTTTTATAAAATGCATGAATGTGTGAATCAGGTGATCCTAAAATACTCAGCTGCCTGTGGCTTCTGGCTAGCTAGAAGACTAGGGTATTTAAGAAGAAAGTATCTCTGGCATTCAAAGTCCTCCGTCTTTTGACATCTACCTTCCTTTATAAGCTTATCTCCCATGATACCCTTATGTGCCACATCTCCTATAAACAAACTCTCAGGCTTTGCCTGGAATGTCCGCCATCCCCCAACTCCACCTACTGAAAGCCTACCCATCTTCAAAGCTCACCCTACACAAACTGAAGTTATTTTTAATCAACCCAGGTAGAAGTTCTTTTCAAAAATCCCAACCACATTTTCTCTCCCCCATTCCTGGAGCAACCACACACATGGGTATCTGCACTGTATTGTGGGTGTCTGCATTGCTGCCTCCTTAGCCTCCTGGTGCACAAGTAATTTGAAGTAGAGACATCCATTTTCATCTTTCTTCATTATAGGGCCTAACACAATGTTTTGAACCTAGTAGATGTTCAATAACTATTTGCTAAAGGCATGAATGCCACACTGAAGACATGGGGGTGGGGGTGTGAGCTAGATCTGCAATTCAAGACCATTGAAAATACAAGTCAGCGGCCTCCAGAGCTGAGGGATGTGCAAAGAGGGAAGTTCAAAATTATTTCTCCTGCCAGTGCTCCTCCTCCAAGCTCTAGATTTACTCCCAGCACTTCTTCAGCTTGGTTCATGCTGTTATTTTACACTAGAGGCCTGGTGCATGAAAATTCATGCACTGGAGGGGGGGGCCCTCAGCCCGGCCTGCCCCCTCTCACAGTCCGGGGCCCTCAGGGACGGGAGGTGACCCAGCGATCAGGGGAAGGTGACGCCCCATCACACCTCTGCTGCTGACACTGCCAGCAGTGCAAGCCTCGGCCGGCCCTGGTTACCTGAGCCTCGGGCAGCTCTGGGCAGCTGGGCAGCCGCCATCCGAAGCCTGCCTGCGCCTCAGGCCAGCCCTGGGCAGCTGGGGAGCTGAGGAGACTGGGGGACTCCGGAGGCAGGCACGTGGAGTGGCTGGGCCTGCTGCCCCGGCAGGGCTGAGGAAACTGGGCGCCGCCATCTTGTAGTTGTGGGCGCCGTCATATTTGAGGGCGGGGCAGTCAATTAGTATAATCCCTCATTGGCTGTGGGCACCACCATCTTTGTGACAGTGTGATGGTCAATTAGCATATTCCCTCTTTATTAGATAGGATGTGTTAATTGAAGCTTTACAAATAAGTTCTTTGCTAGTAGGGTATGTGTGTATGTGCTCTCTCTGTTCCTCCTTGTAGGGATAAGCTGTCTGTTTCATGTGCCTTTTACATTCCCCAACAGTAGCTGGAGCCCGACACTGAAAAAGCTGCCCGAAGCCCTATCCTTTGGCCAGCTCTTGGGAGAAAATCCTCTAGTCCTAATCTCAGGAGACCTGTCTTCAGACCCAGCCCCACCAGCCTTGCAGACACTGGCTTTGGCCATCCCAGCCAAAGCTCCTTTACTGCCCAGCTACTGGAAACGTTAAGCTTTACCTCGAGTTCCCAGATCTGCTCTTGGGTAGGAAGCCTTTGCCCACTGTCATACTGCCCTCTTCTGTCCAGAAAGTGCAGCATCACTAATTTAAGAGGCCTGGATGGTGCCAGCCACCCAGAGAGACAAGATCCCTGCCACCCAGCGGCTCTGCACCCTGTCACCATAGCAACCCTCAAAATGGTTACTCAGCCATCTGGGTTACCATAGCAACTAGCCAAGTCTCTCCACCTAGCCTCTCCCTAGGCCTTCTCCCCTGGCTGGTCAGGGCCAATGCCAGAAGATTCTCCAATCCTTACTGGAGGAATGAGCAGAGCTGGACCCTGATAGGCAGCTGTCCCCAAGGGCGTGGCATGCATCACCAGCCCTGGGCTTCTGAGGCCCAGTGGAGATAATGGGAGTTAAGGCACTCTGTGAACCTTGAAGTGCTGCGCAGATGTTACCTATTACTAAACCACTGTTCCTTGTAATGGGGAAGGCAGTGGAATGTCCAAGGCAGAGCTAGTGCCACTCCC